CGTAATAATTAAGAGTGGCAAGTGGTCGATCTAGTCGGTCGTCGCACACGACAGGTAGATATTATTTATGTACGTATATATATATATATATATATATATATATACCCGACGGCCTTCTAAAATTTATTTTACACGTGGACCAAGGATCACAAATACATCTAAGCGACTTTAGACGTATTTCTCGTTTTCAATTTCTAAGACAGATTTTCAAGGAGACTCCATTTCAGTAAGTGCATTGGCTGACACACCAAAACCCCACCATTCAAATTACATTTAAGCTGGGGTTGAAAAACCGGCGAGTCGATCCGGAATCGTTCGGGTCAACATGAGAATCGGCAGCCCCGTGCTGATTCTAGCGTAAAAGCGAAACTCGGGCGGTTTCAGAACCGAACGCCATTTTTCGGTGATTAAACGCCACACTGACATCATCATTCGTGAACTCGAGTGGTTCACGCCTCATAGGATATTATTTCAATATATGATTAATAATTAATTAAGTAATTAATTGAGATTAAATATTTGTACTAACTCATAAGATATTATAAAACAAAAAATAATACTAATTCTAGTTTATTGAATATTAAAAAATATTGATTTAAAGGATATTTTAAAAGAGAAACGAAACACTAACTCATACCATTTTAGAATTTATTTCTACATTGATAACCAAATCTTTTATTTTATTTATTTTAATTTAGTTGTATTATAAATTGTGTAATGTGCTATTTTTTCTTACAGTTGTCAATAATACATTTTAAATTAGATGATATCATAAGATATTTTGGATTTGTTATTATTTGTATAATAAAATAATTATAAAATGTAAACCAACAATTTCAATTTCAATATATAATATTATAGTTAGTTAGGTTGTAATAACTTTGGATTATAGTTAGTTAGGCTATAATAATTTGGGTTTTTTTAGCAAATTAGGGTTTTCCGTCAATGTGAGATTTCGTTGGCTATTTTTTTTCGATTTAATCCATTCTTTATTGTAGTCCATGTATGATTATATACTTCATCCATGATATTTCCATGATTTTCCTTTTGTGTGATGTAAATTTAATGGTTAACATAAGTTCATACAGGAAAAGTACATCTCAATATTCGCATATTGATGAAAAAAATGAAAGTTAATAATGTAGTACCCCTATTTCTTATTGGATTATTAAAAAACAACATTTATAATGAATTTTAATTAGTTCTTTTGGATTTTTTTCAATGCTTAATCCGATCGATTCGGTTGATTTTCGATCCGGATCGCCGATTCACCGATCCATATGGATTATTGAGGTGCCCGATCCGAGACACCGATCCGTTTTTTAAACCTATACTTTTAAATAATTGTTTAAAGATACGATAGAAGTTAAAAAAAGTTATCTAAATTTCAAAATATAACCAAAGGTCGTGTCTTTGGTAGGAGGACATGCGCAAAGAAGTTTAAATACCCGTCTTCGTGCTGCATAGACGATCATAGCTCCTAGGGTTACACTGTACTATCGATGGATTAGTAGGTGATGCTGTGAATATCGTCCGTGCACTTTTGAATCGGTGATATGTGGTTTTTCTTGCCAGGATCGTTGGTGAAATAAGTTGAAATATATTTTTCCCCTAAGATGTTCCCATGGATTAGTAAGTGATGCTGTGAATATCGATCGTTTGAAACTGAAACTTAATCTATTTTTTTCAAAATTAAATAAAAATGCAATCAACAAGACTTGTAAGCCATTATCTAGACCGTCCATTTTCAAGATTTTTGTGTTGGCTCTGTTTGATTTGAACCATTTTTGCAGTTTAAAATTTTATAATTAGAAATAAATATAAATTCTCATACCATTCTAAGAACTTTCGACAACAAAATTGCATCGCATGACTTTGGTAGTGTACCTTAATTTTATTGTTTAAGGTCACAACCTTATTCAAACCACACCCGATATATCAGTAGTTGAGTGAATAATGATAGAGGGAGGGTGTTTACTTCATTTCTCATTCAAAATTATATGATGTGGATCAAACAGTTAGCAAAGCTTGGTCAAAATGTGACTTTTCTGGAAGGGTGCAGTTTATATAGAGCCTAGGCTTTAAACAATCAAATTAGAGCCTACCTTCAAACAGTGTGAGAAATGTGGTTTTAATAATGAAATTTTTTGTAATAGCCTTAAAATATATTTTTATATTTATTTATAAAATTTAAAGATTCAAAAATAGTGTAGATCGACAAATCTATAAAAACTTGAAAATCTTAAAAATTGACAGTCCAAAAATGTGTTACAAAATACACTATTTTCAAAACTTGAAATCCATTTTTTTCTCATGTCAATGCATCTTGATGTCGAGATGATCGATTTGAAGATATTTGAGCATCAAAACAACCTCTTCTATTGAATATTTTGGGGTAGGCTCAAATATGATTGTTTAGAGCCTCAGCTTTATAGAAACTGTTCCGTTTATGAAATGATCTGATTTCTCATATAAGTAGTAAAAGGTTCAATTTTCAAAACTACTTCAAAAAAACAAAAAGAAAATTCTAAAAAATGAAAGTTCATAATATTTGATCATCTTTAAAGAAAACTTTATAATAACTCTTAAACATTGCCTTAAATTCATTCTCCTTGAGCATCAAAAAGGTACTAATATTGTTCTCTTAATCGATTATTTACATTGTTATTACTTTTTCCTTTCTTTTTTCTTTTTTTCTTTTTTTCTTTTTTAACTTTTCTTGATAATTAATACAATTAACCTTGCACCCAATGTCCCTACAGTCGCATCACATGTTTTTTTAAGCTTGGTTTTTCAGTCAAGGGAAAAGTTTATATAAGGTTGACGCCTTAAATTGTTGAATTGAGGTAGATTTCAAAAATCCATCGGAAAAGACTATTTTGGCATTGGGAAACCATCTAATTGATGATCTTAATATCGAGATGTATGGATATGAAAAAAATAAGCTTTCAAGTCTCAAAAATAATACATCTTGCAATAAAACATATGGACAGTCTATTTTCAAACTTTTCATGAATTTATAGATCTGACTGATTTGAACGATATTTGGAGTTTAAAATTTTATAATTAGAGATGAAAATAGGGTTTCGACACCAAAACTACATCTTATGACAAAGCTTAGAGGTGTGCCTTACTTTTGATCGTTTAAAGTTGCATCCTTAGGCAAACCTCACCCTCTGGTCAAATTTGAATCAATTACGCTCTGTCACTGAGAAGTTTTTGACAATAATTTAAACGGACAGCAATTTGGATTAACAGTCCAATGCTTTAATCATTGTTAGGTGTAGTTCTTAAGGGGTTGGGCCAACCCGTAGTCTTTCGGCCCTGGCCCAATTTTGGGCAGTTTCAGGCCTCATTTTTAAGGCTCAAGTGCCGGACCTGGTAGGCCCAATGTATTTTTGGGCTGGTCCCAGCCTAGCCCAAACCAAGACTAAGACTATCCCAAAAACATTTACGTGCTTTTTTTTAAAAAAAAATCACGTGTTTGCATGAGGCTTGGACCAGCCCGGCTAGATTTCTTTTGGACTAGGCCCAACATTTAATTTTTGGGCCCAAGCCTATCTTGCATGGTTGTGAGGCAGGCCAGCCCGGTTAATAGCCCCACCCTTAAAATACCTGAACCACCATTTGACCCATGCAAATAAATGTCTCATTTTCTATCTATAATGAAAGTGATCACAATTTTTCAATTTAAATACACGATCCCAAAATCATCGTCCTACCACACTTTAGTTACATATTAAAATAGTTAAAAGGTTTGACCTGTTGGGTGAGTCTTGTAATAAGCATTTTGATATAATGGAACATAAACTCAATATGAGTGTGGTCCTTCATAGACCATACTAAGTAAATAATATTATTGATACCGTACCGAGCTTTACGAACTAGGTCAGTCGGTTGGAAAAAACCTATGTTACTCGGGTATAGAAAATTATCGAGGTCGGAGTATATCCGAATGAGTGAGACGACGGACTGTGTAGCCCTTTTGTGTGACAGTGGCCTTCAGAGACGAGGGTCAAACTCTCATCCGCGTACCATCACACAACATACATATATGAGAGTCGTTTTGGGAAAGCCAACCACTTTTTAGGGTGAAGCTTATGCATGTGCAAGAGATGCCCCTATGCGTCATATGAGCTGTGATCGTATCAGGTATGGGTGATATTGGTATGTCTGTATGGGAGAACCTGAAATCCACAAACTAGGATTACGACCCCTTGTCCATTGACTAGACTTTGGTGACCCACTAATGAGCCCTTGCATAGACTGTGGGTTATAGGCAACACTGGGTCAGTTTGAGAAAGCAAGTATGAATCGTAGTCCACAATTAAAGGTGGAGTGCCCCAGTATTTATTTATTTAGTTCCTAGATCATATGGATTATTTTCCCATCAAATGAATTTAATTATGTTGGTTTTAATGATATATGATTTTTTTAGAATTGTTATTTGAATTTTTCTATATCTCTTGGTATTTAATTATTAAATTTAGATTTATAAAAATATAGATATTGATTTTAGATTGATTTAATTATTTAAATTGAGTTTTATGAATTTTTAAAAATCATATAATATTTTAATTAATTTGATTATTTCATGGGAGACTCAATAACCTATATGGGCCCACCATTGCAATGTGGGAGGGACCCATGAGTGCCACCTAGCGTGGCTCGACCCACTCCAAGGATTGACCTTATTTTTTTGGATCAAGCTTTGGCTTTAAAAAAAAGCTTTGTGATGTTTTAGAAAGCATTTGCCTTGAGGAAGCTTTGAATGGATTTTTGAAAAACATGTGGAGGCTTGTGCATAGTTTTGATGAGCACAATATTATGATGGAAATTATTTTATTTAATTTCTGGGAAAACGGTTTAGGAATGGGAGATAAAAGTTTTAGCACCTTCCATATGATGTTGATGGTCTATCCATGAAATAGATAACTCAAATCTCCCAACCCACAAATCACCAAAGATCAATGGTGCATATTCAATCTCACAAAAAGATTCAAGCTATGGAAAACCCAAAGAAACTCTGATCTTATTTTTGCACTATAAAAAGAAGACCCATGCCCAATCTATATACCAAAATATCTATCTTCTCTCTCTAAATATGTTCTCTCTCTTATTGGTAAGAATAGGGGGCTCGCCTCAACCGTAGGAGCTCTCTCTCTATAGAATTTTGGTAAGGGGCATGCCACCTCACTTAGATCATCTCTCTCTAAGTAGATCTAAGGGCACGCCCCACCTAGATGGTATTATCTCTCTATGGATCCTAAGGGTCGGGTAGTAGTAAGTAGTTGTTATCTCTCTTAAACTAGGCTTTATGGATTATATCTAAGTTTAAGATTTGTGATCAAGAGGAGTTCATAGTTCCATTGGAGAGTTTGACCTAAACTTGTTTTCCCGGTTGAGATTGAAGGTTAATCATGGATCTTGCGCTATCGAATGGTGGTGACTCGGTGTGGGGCGTAATAAGCCCGATTGAGGTAATCTCCGGCACTCTTTTTTTTTTTTTATCATATATAATTATGTTGTCTTACATTACAAAGCATAAGAATTGTGGTTGTTTTCTTTGTTTAAAAAAAATTGATTTAGTGACATCAAGATTTTTAAAATATTAGATTTGTTAAGTTTTATTTTTTTTGAAACAAGCGGTTATTGTAATAAGATTACTTGTAAATGATCTATTTC